AGGGTTTTGGTCACTCGGGGCTCCAGTTCTGAGCTGAACCCTGGCAGACCAGACCCCACCTCAGCCCCTGAGCGCTCCTGCCCTACAACAAACAGGATTTCACCCCACACTCAGGTGGGGATGTGAAAACCCACCTGGCTCCAGAGCCACTTTCTCCTTTTATTGGAAACTTGTGGAATTTTGGCAGACCAGGAGCAAACATGAAACAGAAATATTCCTGGAATTCAAAGTGACTTTAACAAACTCCTTGGCTTTAAGTGGGGCATGGAGGAGAGCAGGAAGCTGCAGAAACACCTCCATCCATAATGGTTAACTTCAGCTGAACAGCAAAGGCCTGGCTCTTTCTCTTTTTAGCTGCTTTCCTGACTTGGATGAGGCTGAGCTAATTAAACACTGGCTCTGAGGTCAATTATCCCTTCAAAAGGAATGAAAAATCAATTTGCTGAAACACCAGAAGTTAAAGGTCTTTGAAGCTGGTTTATCTGCACATGTGATTACACTTCCAGCAAAACCAAAAAAAGCAATTTTTTCTGGTGATGTCGTAGCAAAAAAAGCAATTTTTTCTGGTGGTGTCGTAGCAAAAAATTTGACAATCCAAATTAAAAGAAATTATTTCTAGTGGCTGGCAATTTAGTAACTCTTCCTGTGAATTTCAATTGTAAATATATCAATATTTCCCCTACAAACTGCATTATATTTCTGAAAGGAATTAGAATTACAGTAAAAAAATGGATTAATTATAGCATGAGTAATTCAATCTATGAACATAATCTCTCCAACATAATCAAGATGGATCAAATCATAATTTTGAGCACCCAAGATACACATATAGTTATTTTTAGACTTCTAAATGCTGCCAATGGTGACAATATAAACAAACAAATTTCAAGTTCAATTTGCATTAGAATTGTCTTCCCAAATTGTGACATACAAATCATCTGGCTTTCCATGGTTTTGCACTGACAAAGCCCATATAAATACCACTAAATGCATATAAATCAATTAAAATATCCCACATGGAGCTCTCCCATATGGGCCAGCAGAGCAGTGGCACTTGCCAGGCAGGATTTACATCTCACAGAGCTCGTGTGATGCTCCTTGGGCATCAGCAATCCATAACTCCAATAGCAGCTGGGTGAAACCTAAAGCTGCCACTTGCCCAGCCCTGAGCTCTGGACAGACCCGAGCCTGAGTGGGAGCAGTGACTGGAAGATGAGAACCAGAAGGGCTGTGTTATAAAGTCTGTCACAGTAATTAGATGGCAGCAGTTGAAGGCAATTTAATTATTCAAATTTATAATTATGAACTGCACGTTAAGGAACGAGGAGGATGTTTAGAGGCTGAGCTGTTGTTCCTGTCACACTCTTTATAAAGTGTCCCCTCAAACCTCACACAGATCTTTGAGCTGCAAAACTCTCTGTGATTTTAGTTCAGGTTTTTTAATGCCTCTGGGGCTACCATGAAAATGACAAAATACAAAGAAAATTGTCATTTTCTTCTGTGTATTTACTACAAATGATAGAAAACATAAAATATAATGTATATATTTATATAATATATACTTAATATTATACTTAATAATATTATAAGTATATATTATATAATATATACTTAATATATACTTAATATAAGTATATATTGCATATATATGTATGCATTGTATATATATGGTACATGTATATATATTAATATATATCTCCATATATGTACTTAATATATATATACATGTACTTTTACATATATGTAAAGTACGTTTTATATGTATGTACTTAATATAAGTACAAGGAAATCACTTTTGCAAGAGAGTATTTGAGTAATCACTGAGGGCAGAAGTTTGAGAATTTCCTTTTGTTATAGCATTACTTATTAATAATTTCAACACAGAGGCTTTTCTATGTCTATGTTCAAGGGCACTAAGTCTTTAAAAAGGTAATATGATACATATACCTAAAAAAGGAACAAAGACATTAATAAAAAGTGGCTTGGTTTAAAGCAAGCTTACATATTAAAAAATGCACTGCAGATACACAGAAAATAATTGTAAGCATGATGAAAGTATTTTAAAATAAAGGATCTTACATTTTCTGTTGTTCCTGTGATTACATGTAGTCCATCATATGTTGATTTGATATACATTCCCTGCAAAATAAAGACCAAAAAGGGTAATTAATATTGGTAGGAAACAGATACAGAACACTTGCATGATAATTAAAATAATAGATTTGCTCTAAGGACCATAACATTTGAACAGACTGGAAGGAGCTGTGGTCAATTAACATTTGCAAATCCAAGTTTAACAAATCTATATCAAGACCACTATAAATAGCAGAGTTTTCACACTTAATGCTTCTTTTTATTCTGAAGTTTGTGAGCAGAGTTCAATATGGAGCATCAGCATAAAAACTTGTGCCTGTTCAGTATTTGAAATATTTAACATGATCTCTTTTTATTACAATGACATAAAAGAAGTATTGAAACTGAAAGCATGAGCAGGAGTAGTTTTTAACTTAAATGCCCCATTTTCAGAGTTCGTGATTCAGTAAAAGTGAAGCCAGAGCCAAACTCAGAAAAGACAGGAGCCAGTGCTCATATTGCTAATTTATGGGGGAAATGAGCTTAGTGAATGAACTAACAGGAGCTTTGTAATTAGTCCATCAAGAATTGTGCTTGAAGGAGAGACTGACAAGATGGAAAGGGACAGGCAGGGCAGGGAGCTGTGGAGCTGAGCACACTCAGAGCCCAATGCCAGGGAGGCTCAGTGGCTCCTGTGCCTCCCTTCAGGAGCCAGGCCACAGCTTCCCCTCTCTTCCCTCAGCACCCTTATCCATCACTTTGGAAATCTAATTAATCTAATTGGTGCATTGTGCTGCTGATTTATTGTTCTTTCAATAGTTCTGCACCACCTTGTGCTGTCACAGCCCCAAAGTTTAGAGTCCCCAGCAATAACCAAGAACATTTTGTTCAGAGAAAGCAATTTCCAGATTCCTGAATGCTAATGGAGATCTTCAGGCAGGGTGGGCACACAAACACCACCTCCCAACCCCTCGAGAAAAACCCAAAGCTTGAAAATCCTACAAAGTTTAGGTGATATTGCTCTCCACAAGCGCCTAAACTGGAAGGTGGGATGGAGCCAAACTCTTCCTCACAGTGGGAGCATGAGAAGCAAGAGAAAAGTTGGAACTTGGGTAAGGAATTTTGTTTCAGTTTTACCATCAGGAAAATAAAACTCTGGAACAGGCTGGCAAAGCTGTGGAATTTCTGATTTGGAGATGATCAAGCTGTGACTGGATGAGGCCCTGAGCAACCTCCTCTAGCTGGGTCTGACTGGATTTTTCATGGGAAAATGAAACTTCTTCCTTAATGTAAACTAATTCCATTTCAGCAAGTTTTAAATGTATGGAAATCTTAAAAATAAAGATTGTCCAAACCTGATTGCTGGCAGGTTGCAATGTTGCATAGAAAAATCTGCTTTAGATTGCGTTCCCCATCTCAGTTCTCTTAAATTTGTCTGCTTTACAAACTACTTCATTTGTAAAAACCAAAAATCCAAATTAAACCTTGCCAGTCTTGAAATCAGCTACACAAAGTGGGATTAGTTGGAAGAAAGAAGCTGCTGGTGAACCTTTCAGAATTTTCTTTTTAGAGCAGTTTAATTTATCAGTGTTTGCTGTTCTGCTGCCTCTTTGGTCCCTTCAACAGCAAAGGACAAGGTTCCCTTTGCCAACTCAAGGACACAAACAGGATCCTGGAAAGCTGAAGGTTCCCATGGACAATGGGATGGGGAATCTCCATTAAAAACCCAATTTTATTTTAGTTTTTTATTTAATTGAGCAGAAGTTTTGCTCATCTAGTGTGAGTTATGCTGAATTTCCACAGTGAACTTTTCACAAGAATATTACACAACATTCCTGCTCTTTTAGCACTTGCTCAACCTCAGGAACACATTTCAAGCCACACTTTTATATCAAATTTAATATCCCAGCCCTAAAATCCCACTTGCTTTGACAAGATTCATTCCCTGCTCAAAAAACCCAACAGATTAAAATTTTTAGGGCCACAAGAGGACAGAGTGCTAAACTTTGCACTAAATTTTACCACTTATTTCTTCCTAGAGTTCTTAGATTCTTGTTAATCTCTGTGTATTTTTGGAAAAAATCAAATTATAATTTTATCTCTTAACAGATGCCATTGGAGAGTCATAAAACCTGACTAATCGCCCAGAATTACCCTACATTTTGTTATCTGCTCTTTCATCCTAGTTATTAAAATTTAAGAATATATTTAAAAATAAACAATTTTAGTGAATGACTCATAGCCTTCAAATTATCCTACACAGAGCTTTCATCCTTGTTTTCCCAAAAGAAAAATAATGAGCTTGTTCCTTGTTGACCATTAGAGGAGCAGAGCGTCCCCTTGACCTGGAAAGCTGGAAAGATTATTCTATGTAAAAACATATGAAAATTCTTAGATTAATTTTTTTATGAAAGTTCTTACGTTAATTTTTTACTTCATATGGTTGAGCTTAGGCAGTGATATCCAGAGAATTTTTTGGTCACCTTGGAGTGACCAGCCATGCATAGGTCTGGCCAATGCGAGAGACCCTTCTGGAATGGCACCCAAAGGGTTCTCCTGCCTCTTTCCTTCCAGTTTCCACTTCTGCCCTCTGCACCCAGCTCTGTTTGTCTCCCTCCTGCTCTGCAAACTCAGCAATGTCCATTCCTGTCCCACCAGGCTTGTCCCACCCTGTCCTTCCCTGTCACAACCTGCCCCGTCCATCCCAGTGACTCAGCTCCCAACTTTCTTTCTGTTCCCTTACCAATCTGTTTCCTGCCCTTACAAGCAAAATATCACAGGAGTCCTTTTCCAAAATGATTCATCTCTCATTTTTTTTCTTTTTTTTTTTTCCCCCCAAGAATGGGGTTTCAGTCTCTCTGGTTTATTATTGAATGCCAACAATGATCTCAGAGAAAAGAACAACAGGCTTTATCCCCTTATCTCGAGATAAGGCAGGAGTCAAGGATTCTCCTCTGTGAAGATGGCTCAGACTGGTGAACATTTAGAAATAAATAGTTGCTCTTTATGCCTGACACATCAGTTATTAAACTCTGCAGAATGGCACTGACCTATGTTAGGGAACAGGGAAATGTTTCTCAGCCATCAAACCAAGAACCCTGGCTGTTTCTGAGCAGCTCTGCCACTGTCCCCTAGTGACAAAGTGAATTAAAGGTTTTTAATTAAAATCTGACCTTTGAAAACATATAGGAAGGCATCAACCATTTAAAACCCCATTTTGAAGAGACTTTTCCCCAGAAAACAGCATATCCAGTTGCCAGGGGAATTTCCTTGAAAATTTTCGTGCAGAATCATCTGGCTAATTAGGCAGGATATAATGACAGCAGTGTGTATTTAAGTGTCAACAATTATTCCTGCACAGGGAAGCAGTGACAGCAACGATGCAGGTTTGTAATGCCACAGACAACCAGGGAACTCTTACACCCCTTGATCTTTTGCCCCATAAAAAGTGGTTCTTTAATCTTATTTCAATTATCAAAGTTACACAAATGCATTTAAATGAATGCCATGATAGTGCTTTGAGAAGGTGATGGAGTTTTTTGTTTAAATTTCATACCATTAAAAAGTCCCTCTCAATTTTTTTTTCCTGCCTTATATGTTGCAGTCCTTTGCCCAAATCTAAACACCTCTACTTTCCTTCCTGCAAAACAACTTCCACTTCTCAAAATACTTAAGATAGTAACTTCTTTTATTCTTCTGTATGAGAAAATTTGGTTTTACTTGGGCTTTTAGGATATGAGAACCTTTATATGTCAAGCATGATGGAAATTTGTCAAGTTTCTGTAAGCCTTTAAAAATAATTCGAAATAATTAGATGAACACCCTGACAGTTTCAGGCCAGGCATATTCCCATTAAAAAGCTGCCTTCATATTCTACTTTTTCTTCCTGCTTACTTTGCAGTTCCTTTCTTGTGAAAATGGGAAAGATTGGCTTCCATCACCTTAAATTACAAATGCCACAGAAAGAGAAGCACTATTTGAAAGGGTAGCTGGACACTGGATAGATGAATAATCCTTCATAAAGAAGGGTCATGCATCTGACAGCTTGGCTGTTTGTTCAGCTTCTTTTGTTTTCCAACATTACAGCTGCTTTCATAAAAATTTTGATTTTATAAATAAAAATCTTTGCTTTTCCTAAATTCTTAAAATGAAACGGGAAAAGTTCCCTCTGCAGAAAAATTAAGAAGGCTCTGGATATTAGCAGCATACATCTTAATTAAAGTGTGTCTGATTACACTGATTCTATCAGCAGGGGGAAGCTCAGACAACAGAGGAAAAAAAAGAATAAAAAAGTGAAAGGAAGGGGGATAAAAGTCCTCCTTTATTCCAGAAGAAAAGAAGAAAAACATTTCACAGACATCAGAAGATACAAATCCAAACAACAAAACCCCAACTGCCTCCCTGTTCCGAATCTCCTGCTCAAGAGGAATCATTAATCTCATCAAATAAGATTAAAGCTGCATCTTACACAGAAGTATCTCTGGGTACATGAGCTGGACATCAAGTTCAGAAGATTAAAAAAATAAGTTTCATCTGAAATAATGCTGGCTGTAATAATCTCTCACTATAGACAATCCCCAATCATCCAAGAGCAGGAGGAGGGGGGAAAAAAAGCTCCAAACTTCAAAAACCTTTCTACGATCCCATTCTGTATATCTGTAAAATCTCCAATAAAATGCTGCCTGTTTATGTGACAGCAAAACTGCTCCAGAGCTGGCTCTGGGCACAGGAGGAGGTAAATCATAGCAAGGTTCTCCAGCCTTTCATCAACCTCCATCCCCAAGGATTCAGCAGCAAGCTGAGGAGCTGCCAATAGCAACACAAACTCCTGGCTCAAGGGCTTATTGTGGATCCATCAAGCCAAAAAATTTAAAGTGGGGAGGCAATTTTCTTAAATCACAAAGTTATTTTATTCTATTCGATTTCCTAAAAATTTATGTCTGCATGTTCTGCCAGAGCTAACGGTGATTCTCACAATTTAATACTTTCTTAGTGCAGGAATTTATTTGAAGTTTGTCAAATTGATTGTTTGAAACAAAGCTTTGCCTTCCAGACATCTTGTTCATGCTGATTATGCTGTGCACTTCAGATATTAATGGTATTACCATACCCAGTACTACAATTCAGGAGAAAAAGTGCTTTACAATCCTTAAAGTTACTTCAAAATGATATAGAAAATACATGGAAGGTGTTTCAGTACTCTCCACTGAAAAATCAGCAGCAAAATAGGGAAAAGGAGGAACCAATTTGACTGGTGAAGCAGGGGAAGGAATGGAAAAAGGGGAGGAAAAAACCCAATATATTTCTGGAGGCCAAGAAATGCCTGCAGAGATCAGGATGCAAACAGAGTCCCCAGGAGCTGGAACAGACCCCAAGTGTTCCCAATGCAAATTCCTTTGTCCAGCAAACTGCCAGGAAAGCAGCACACAGAGTGCCCTGGGAAGGCTGCAGATAAGGCCAGGCTTTAATAAAGCTGAATGCAAAGAAGGTATTTGAGAGAGGAAAAAAAGAAAAGGGTGGCATAAAGCTCATAAAAGCACAGACGGAAAGTTCAAAATGCTACAACTGAAGATGCACATTCCAAAGGCTCAGAGTCCCTTTGTGAAAATGCTTTATGGTCCAGAATTTATTTACACAATTAAACACACAGACAGTGCCCTGCAGGAGCTCTGACTCCGTGCAGACTGCGTGGACCTGGAGACCTGGAAATTAATTCCATTTATGTGGGAGCTTCTGCAGTGTCAATAGGATTCCTGGCTCATAGGGAGAGAAATTAGAAGGCATGTAATAAAAATTTTGCAAAAGGAGTTCTGAAAACTTGGGAAGACTCATAATTCAGTCAGCTGAATATCATTCCAGATAACTGAATTCTTTGGTAAATCTGAGTGATTTACAACACACACTTTTCTCCAATGGCAAATAATTGTGTTTGTTTTCCAGGTGCCAGCCCTGGATGAACCCTGTTCTCAGTAGCTCTGAAAATTAGAGCTACATTTAAACCCAAGAGAGCCTCTGTTTTAAATTTATGCTATAAAGGTAAAAAATGTTCCGAAATATTGTACATTAAGCCGCTCTTGAAAAACACATTTTTGGTGATTTTTGACACCAACTGCTGTGCATTAGCTTCCTACCTCTAGAACTAAAATTACAGTATCCTTTTCACAAGTGTGTTGTGAGGATGAATTAATTAGTGTCTGTGAAGCACTCAGGAAGGCCATATAAAAAATAAATAAAACAACTCACGATGAAATTAGTAACTCCAGGGACTGCAGAGCTTAGCTGGAGTGTGGTAAATCAGGCCTCAACCCCTACACTGAATGATAAGGATAAAAATGGAACTCTGAATACTTTCCATTCACTGAATAGCGCTCATTTCTCTCTTGAATGGAGCAGATATCCTGTGGAAAAAAATCCTCTATACAATCATGAGAAAGCCATTTGTAATTCATTACTCTGTTCTATATTTGATTCTGATTAATGTTTTCTTTTCCTTTTCACATGATTTTTCTTTTATTCCCATTTATAGTCCTTTTTTCATATTTTCTTCTAAACAGAACACAGTGTCAGCAAAATTGATTACAAGGAACTTTCCAACCTAACACGTTACAGTGCCTTCACAATTATGCACAGAAAACTCACTCATTCACTGTGATTTCACTTCATCTAAGGGAAAAAGGGGGGGAAAAAAGGGAGAAATTGCCAGGCAGTTTTGATTGCAGTATTTGTCTCATGTCCCCTGTCAGCAGTGCCCACTCCCTGCTCCTTTGTTGGCTCTTAATTCATGGGCACGTTGTGGGTGGAGAACCACACAGGGGTTCTTCAGCCCCAGCCCATCCAGGCAGGACCATTCCAGCACAGATCCTCAAGTTCCAGCAGGGAAAAAGGGAATGTGAACCACAGGAAAGGTGCCAACATCTCAGCCAACAGCTCTCACCTTGGTCACTCCGCAGCTTAAATAACATTCCAACACTTCATGGCGCTTTATGGCTCCTGCCAAGAGCTCCTGACAGACACCTGCCTCAGCCTGCACCTCAGGAAATCTCAGTTTCCCACAGGAAATGCTGGTTTTGGGGTAGATTCCACTCCTGTCCTGCACCAGCCTGATCCAGAGCCATCACTGCATGGGAAGCATCAGCAGCACCAAGCCCTGCTTATGGTGCTCCATCATCTCTGAAGAAAATGCATCTCTGTGTTCACCTCCTCTGCAGCACTGACAATGAACTTTCCCCTAATTAGACCAGCAGAAATCCATCCCATTTCTGCACAGAAGGGAAAGGCATGCAGAGTGCTGGCCTGCAGGGTGTAGGAATCCTAATGCAAGACAAAAGCCCTGGGACATTCACCGTGTATCCCCTGCAAATGTGCTGACCTGTATTTCCTGGGCACCCTGCACTAACCCAGAAATCAGAGCTAGAGGGGAAACTGGGCCATAAAGGGAACGAGTTGGGCCATAAGGATGCAGCAGCACAGGGAGGGAATTGTAGCTGTGCTCAGGATTACACACTGGGCTGAGCATCTGCGATGCCACGGAATGAAAATTGAATGTGCTTTATGCTGTGGTAATGTTCTTTGTTGACTAAATCAGCCTAAGAATAAAGTAAACTTGTGCAGTCACACAACACCCCCTCATGTTATTAAAATATGTCATTCTCAGATTAATATGCATACCTCAGAGTAATTATGCCCTTGTAACTCTGGCAGTATTTGCATATGACGTTTGTCGCTATTCAATGTCATAACAAAGAGGAAGATGTTGAAACAATACAAAGTGTCTCAACGAACAGAAGTTGAAAATCTGTAAATCACGCTGAATTACAAACAGGAAACGTGTCACAAGGTGTAGAGTGGCACTCAAGTGGGTTTTGATTTGCCAGTTTGGGGATTTTCTGTGGAGAAGCCTCATGGCTGCCAATTTCACTCCCCACTTCCCCTCATTTTCCTCCTACGACTGCTTCCTTCAACCCAGAAGCAACATTCCTGAATTACTCTTCTTGTAGGGAGAAAATAAAAATAAAAAGAATTCTGAGAAGGCAGCTGGAGGCAGTTTGGGAGATTGTGCTGGGAAAAGCAGCCTGGCTCTTGAGGAGAGTGAGTGAGAGCAGCCCAGTGCCTGCAGTGCCACCTCCCAACTCCAGCTTTTTTTGGGGTCTTGGTCTCCCAAGCACAATCCTTCTGTTCCTACAGCCCACCAATAGCAAATGGCTGCAAAGTAAGGGACTACAGAGGGCAGGCAGAAATCTTTATCCACCAACCACTAAAATGTCACAAAAATCCATTGTCCCAAAAAAAGTATCAGTACATCAATAGTTGAGAGCTGGAGCCCAATAATTCTGAAACTGTTCCTGCAGAACATTTCACTGCTGTGACCCACCACCAATGCAGAGCAGCTGGGATGTCCAGAGCCATCCAACCAGGCTGCTCAGTGAGCAACCATTTACAAATAAAAGAGATTTATTTGGTTTCTGGGAGGATACTTCTGAAAGATTTATTTGAACTGATCATTAGGGAGTCATGTAACTCCATTTATGCAAGTGCAAGGTACAGACTTGCCACCGGTCATTTTGAAAGCACATGAATGACATTAGTTAATTTTATTTGTGTGTGTTTGAATTTGGGGATTATTTCAGTACATTCCAAAATCTGCAATCTGGCAAAGGATCATAGATTTAACATACATACAGTTACATATGAAGCCTGGGGTAAAACAGGTCTTAATTTGAATAGACCCCAAACAATCCCTTTGTTTAGATAAATGCCAATTAAACCTCCTTCAGAAATCTGATTCAGCTTACAAAAAAAAATAGGACATTGCACAAAAAATACATTTTGATTTCTTGATAAATTCCAAAACCAAATCACCCCAAAGAACTGATGCTTGTGCTGGGCATTCTAAGAGTCAAACTTGAAGCTGCTCTGGTACTTACCAGCCCCTCACTGGGCATGATGCTGGTGAGATGAACGACCTCGAGATGAGCAGACTGGGACACCAGAGAGTCAGAGGAGAGGGAAATGATGTGGTCACAGATCCCAGACAGGGTTTTACACTGCAAAGGAAAACAAGTCAATAGAACCCCTCCAATCCAACTGGTACTACAAGTGAAAAAGCTCTTATGAACTAACCAAGAATAAACAGATAATTTTAATTCTTAGCACTGTAAAAATTAAAGGTGTATCAAAGTCAAGTGGATAAAGGAACAGAAAATATCCATAAATGTCAAGAAAATATACATGTATTTACAGTTCTGCTGTAGAATATCTGGATCTCTAAACCATCTTCTCCACTCCAGCCATGTGCACTTTAAAAATAAAAAACAAACCCAATGGACTTTATCCTTATGATTATAAATTCAATGGGAGTTGAGTGAAATGTGTCAAAATAAATGTCTTATGCAACTTGAATAACCTATTTTGGCTACCAAATGATGACATCATCCCTACCAACTGTGATAATTAGGTGAATTGTGCTCTTCAACTTGGAAAATTTCCTTTGTTAAAAATTACCCTGGCAGAGAAGTGCCTTAGTTAACCCATTTCCTGCAGTAAAATTCTTATGCATCTTTGAGCACATCCTCTAACTGATATTCTACATCACCACAACTAGGCAATGATTTTGTTATCCTGCCTTCCAGCTAAAGATCTCAAAATCTTAATGCAAATCCACAGAAGCACCTTCAGAGCAGGAGCCCCATTGCATGGGCAGCAGATTGAACCCATCTGTCAGAGAAAAGTTTGTAGGTCAGAGAGGAGCTGAGCTGGACTCAGACAACATTCATTTGGAAAGACTCATTCCCAAATTTCTGTGTGTTGCTTAAAGCACACTCCTTCAAGAAGTCTGTGCCTGAAAGAATGCATTTAACAGAATTTCAGGATGGGATTCTGGTCAAGGCTGTGCTGTGTGCATCTATTTTGCTTTGGGGACTGTACTCTCATTTTTCCTAATTATAGCAAATTCCAGTGAAATCCCTTCAGGGAAGTTTTGTTTCAAGCATTTGCAAAACCATGAGGCTTTCTAATATCTCATTTGACACTATCCACAGAAGTTAAACAAATAAAGTTGTCACAATGAATAAGTTAACTGCCTGAATGTGTAGGTTGGATTTCCATTCACTGTGCAGTTACTCATCTGGAAATCCAAGGACAGCTCTGGAGCCTGGGCTGTGGCATCTGGGTTTTGTATCAGCTGCAAGATGCAAAGCATCCCACTGAGGTGGCTGCAGATAAAGGTCACCATTTCCACAAATATTTCAAATATTTCAATATTCCACAGTTTCAGCTCGGGGCCAGAACCCCTGAGCAGAGTTTGGGTCTCATCTTCTCCCAGCAGGGATGGAGAAACTCAAAAATCTCAAAAATCTCCAGTGTAAGAATATTCTTATTCTTATTCCATAATTTCCAACTGAAACCCCCTCTATGCCTCAACACTGGAGAGCATTTGCCCAGATTAGATGCAGACTAAACCCCAGGGAGAACAACACTTTCTACTTTCTGCTGTAATGCTTTGACCTTAGAGTTGCCTCATGGAAATACTTTTTTAATTTATTCAGTTAAAATAAACAACAAAGAAGTTTTCAATTAAATCAGCCTGGTCTATGGAAGAGCCACAGTCAGAATTGTGGGTTAAAATGTGCATATATATATATATATATGTGTGTGTGTGTGTGTCTGTGTGTACACCCCCCAAATCCCAGAAGGTATCAGGTGATTTTAAAAGTTCTATTCATACCCAGCTTTGCTATAGTAAGCTTTTTTTCCCCCTCTAAAAGTCACTGCACACTTGCTAAATTTAACAGCACATCAATGTTTTATGACAGATTTTAATCCCTGCTGGAAGCAGAGTATGTGCAAAAGGCTTTAAAAAATAGAAGAAGAAAAAGAGTCAGGCACTTGGGCAGAGCTTGTCAAAAGCTTATCTGAACTTGTAAATCCTTTGAGAGTTCCCTCTCACCACAAGCTTTATCTCAGTGTCAGTACAGGTTCCTGTGCTGGTACCAGGAAAATATAAAGTATTTGGACTTAAAGGCCAATATCTAATCAATAATCTTAAATAAGATTCTTCCACTCCCTTTGTCATCAGATTTTTTTGAGTTCTGAAGGCACAAAATGCTCAGTGTGACAACCAGTGATGCAGCAGGTCCATGGATCTGACCAGCCTTTCTGGTAGGAATATTCACTATACAGAACATTCAATATACAGAATATTATGCAGCTTCTAAACCTCAACCAATAATTCTGTATTTGTAATTAACTGTAGCTATAACACAGAGCATTACTGCAGTGAATATTAATTTTTAGCAACTGATATAATTCATCAGAAATTATGCCAAAGAGTAAGGAACACTTAAGAGTATTTTCCTATAGCAACCTTATTTTTTAAAAAAATAATTTCCATGTGTGGGGTAAAAATAGAGAATACCAAAGCAGAATTACTTACCACATGAAGAATTTTATTTTCTGTTTCATACACCGTACAATCCTGTGGTAAAACAGAACAAAACCAATTAAATGAATGTCACATTAAATGTCCTATTAAGAAATGAAAGGAAGTTTTATGCTGTTAATAATCTCTTACAAATTCCTGATGAACCTTAAGACTTTTTACTTTTGGAGTGGTCATTTTCCTATTTTAGCTATCCTTTTAAGAATAATCAATCTTACACTCCATAATTCTAGTGTCACCCTTACCTTGCTTTTTGCTTTAGTATTATTACAGGGGTTAAAATATTGGGTTTTTTTCATGAAACAAACCATACAAATTGCTAAACTGCCTCTATGACTTATTTAATGTTTGAAATTTCCCTCAGTGTGACCCTCTGGAAATTGGGGCGGCCATGGCAAAGGGGTTTGACCCATCCCCTGCACCTCTGCTCTACTCCAAATCTCAGGTTATAGTCTGCTAAAATATAAAAATAAAAAGGAAAATACAGGAAAATATCTCCTCCAAGCAGAGTGAGATTAGAACAGGCTCTCCCCAAGCCTTGGTTCCCTCTGAGGACAGCCCTGGCCAGGCTCCCTCTCCCCTTCTCATGTTGGGAAATTGTTAAATCCTTCTCCAAGTGCTCTTCCACATTGAAAAAGGCTTTCTACAGAGCAAGATATGGATAATTTAAAAAACCTGTGTTCCTTGTTTAGTTTTTTTTCCTTAAATAAACTTCCAAGTAAAATTTAAATTACTGATAATGCCTGAAAGGTCCCTTCAAGGAATTTAAGATTCCCTCGGTTGGTCAGAGCCTGGTGATGGCAACACAAGGCTGAGGGTTTTGTCCTAAGATTGTACTTGATATGTGGGTCCCTTCCAGCTCAGAATATTCTGTGACATCCCTTCAAGCAGCTTGAGATTCCCTGTAGCTCTCAAAGTTTCCTCTTTTTACTGCACCTTAATACATCAGCAATAAGAGTTAATTGCTCTGGATCTCACACAGAACAATTCCAACCCCTCATTCCCTGCTCCCTGATCACTCCTTTGGGCTGGGACACCCCTGGAGGTCTCTGCCCCCCTTTTCCAGCACCCAAGCCCTTGGCTGCTCCCATCCAGCTCCCAAACCTTGTTCCCTGGCCGTCCCTTTGAGGATTTTCCCCTGAGCCCACCTGAGGCAGCTGCTCCAAACCCTCAGCCCAAGGAGCTGCCCCTCCCTCAGCCCTCAAGGTCAATATTTATTTTGGAGGATTGCTGCTCCTGTGGAGAAATTAATTTCTAAGTGGCTACAGTTTATAGAATATTGCTACAGAACAAGAAAGTCAAAATCAGAAGATTGGGAGTGCCAAGCAACGCAGAAGAATTTATATTAGCATTTCATGGTCAAGTATCCCTTTGATGTTTCCTCTGTATTCATACTGTTATTTTCTAGAGCACAAAAAAAAATTCAATTAGTCAGTTTGGCTGGCAATGCCCAAGGCAGTTTTCCCTCCAAGTTTTGCACACTTCAAACAGCTCATCCACCATCTCCTTTTAACCCTGCACGTACCAAGAGAACAAAATGATCACAGCAGGGCTTCCAGCTTGGCTCCAGAGCTAATGCTCCTGTCTAAATGATTCCTTTAATTTCTGTGCTAGAAATACAATATCAACCTCCCTCTGAACAAACTTAATTACTTCAGGTCAAAGAATAGAAGACTTATGTATAGTACAACTGAAATTTTACTGTTTTGTAGAGCAGAATTAATGTTAGCTGTACTTATGTTGCACATTCAAGATTACATTAGCATGAAAAATGTTAATGGCTTTGGGATTCCTTCCAAAATAGATGCATATTGACTTCTTTTTAAAATACATCAGACTAGTTTAACTGAGAGGTTAAAAGCACTTGCAGTGTTACACTGAAATATTAAGATATGTAGGTCACAAAATCCTTCTGATTTATTTTTCTCTGATACATAGTAATGCACCAGGGATCTCATTAAAAAAATAATCTTCCAGGACTACCATTTTTAGGATGTTGATGTATTTTTCTTAGAAAATAAATAATAGTTATAGTCACATTCTTTCTATGCTCTACAATAGAAAGATGACATGATAAAAATATTTGCTCTTGAAGTTTAAAATAACCTTTAAATTAGTAGCTGTGTTCTATTTCCCCTCTATAAGAGGATAAGCCCTAGGAATTACAAAACCAGTCACAGGAGCAGTGTTGCAGACCAGGCAAGGACTGCACTGTCCCGAATATCCAAAATTGAATATCCAAAGTTGACAAAGCCCACCTTTGTCTCTGACAAAGTGAAACTGCTCCTCTGCATATTCATAAAGAGAAAAGGTCAGTGGGACTTGTGGTCTAGAAAAACTTCAATTTCTAATTCTGAAAGAAGGAAAAAGTGCAAGTACCACAACATTTTGCAGATACCATAAAGAGTGGTTTATGGCAAGTTCTTGAGGACAGTTAACTAAAATATTAAAAAAAAGTGAAATATTGAGTTCATTAACTTAGTTCTATAAAACAGCATGAGTTAAGTCAACTACTGAAAAGAAACAAAAACCCTGTAATGGAGCATTTCCCACCACAACACCACAGGAAAGTTCTACAGCAGCCTTTGAGTGGTGGATATGACAAAGAGATATTTCAAAATACTTTGCTGGCATGCATAAAATGAAATACTTCTGAAATTCAGACATTCTAAAGAAAGAGATCACTCTGGAATTAGGGAAATACACAATGCAAGTGCATAGAACTGACTCATTTTCCTTGGTTCAAAGGTAGAGACTTGATCAGAGTGTATTTTTAGAGAAGAGTGAACAGATGTTTGATGAAAGGTTCTTTAGCAAATGCAAGCAAAATAAGATGGAGGGGCTGAAAGCTGAAGTCTGCAAAGTTCAGACTGAAAATAACACCCAGGTTTTGCATGGCAGCTGCTGAATCACAGGATAATTCAGGTGGAGGGGCCTCTGGAGGTTATCTGGTCCAACCACCTTCTCAGGGGAGGCTGATTAAAAACTTACACCAAATACAGAAGTTACTAAGAAACAACAATTCCTGTCAGTTGCAGTGCAAACTCGATGGCTTTTAAACACCAGAAAAGCCATGCTTCATCCTAAACACAGGATTTGGCTAAAAATAGGGCAAAATGCATTATAAGGTAATTTTAAAAAATCCATTATAAAAAAAAAATCTATTATAAGATAAATCCATCTGAATTTTTCTCAGTGAGGTTAATTAGACAGTAATGAAGGGGAGAACAAGCAGAATTTTGTGTTTGGTTTGGTTTTTGTTGGAAAAAGGCTGAGTTGTGCTGACATCCTTGGTAAGACAAAGATTCTTTTGTTGAAAGTTTGTTCTTCAGGTGTATCACAAAAGCATCTACCTCAGATTTAAACATCTTGGACATAATGAGGAAAAATTAGAATCCCAGCTGCCTCTGGAACTGGGGAACTCTTCCTACTCCATGAAAAATTAACCAATGGCTGCATTTTATGAACAAAAATCCAAATCTGTTCTTCCCCAGCTCCTCTGCCTTTCCCTCAGGGCAGCCTTGGTGCTGAGCCCCAAATTTGGTTCAGTGATTCTGGTGGATCCCATTTAGAGCTGTGAGTGCACCCTGGAACTGAGCTGGAGCTCAGGGTGAAGGCAGCGGAGAGCTCAAACATCTCAATATCCCGTTTAATGTGCTTTTTTGTATATTATTATAAGCACATTTTCATGGGACATTGCACCTCAAAATCAGGATGTTTCTGCAGCTCTGTGCTTGACATAATTCTTTTACTGTAGCTTGATCAAAAGGGTCAAGAAAGCTGAGCAGAATAAAGCACATTTCCCAACAGAAACGGACAGCTGCAAATCTCTAAAATTAGAGAATGAGGTTTTCTTCTAACTAGCATGAGCAGATGCTGTTTAAAGTTAAATAAGTGGCTATTCATCACAGCATTTGCATGGTATGTAAATAGTAATAATGCATTAAAATAAATTTGATCTAAGGCTATGTCACCCAGAGCACACAGGACATTTGAGCATGAGGATTCATAAGCACTTTCTGTATTAAACTAAGGTTACAGGGTAATGTCCCCTGTTAGAAAATTCACCTGGAGTGGCAGCTGCAAGTCGTGCACACAAACCATGTTCAATTTGCACAAAATGTCAAAGACATTTCCCACTTAATGTGCCAGATCTGTACCCTTGACTACCACTTTCACTCTGGCTGAAGGAGGTATTTAAAATGTATATAATTCATAAAACAAGGAGCATCTGAAAGGATCTGAGACCCAGGTTTCTATTAGTTATGCCTTTCAATTCATATTCCAGCCTACAGCTGAGCCTGCAGTTCTGGTCTAGGTGAGACATTTCTGCTTTCACACATTAAGGTCAATTTTTCTCAGATTTAGTGACAGCAAAGTTGTCTCTCTATGACTGATATGGTTTTATCTGCTCTTTCTGATGCTAAGTTTAATATAACATAAAAAGAACTTAATAGACAACCATCAAACAAGCCAGATCTGACAATAAGATAAAGAAAAGACAAAACTTGATTTGTAACCTGAAGCCTTTTTAAAGCATAACCCGTGCGCTAACCAGGCATTTTTCATCTTGGAATGACTTGGAGTTTATGCTAAAAGATTGTTTTTAAGTTGTCAAAAGGAGGACAGCTGTGGGACTGGAGCTGAAGGACTGGAAAAAACAAAGAACCAAACTATTGCTGGCAGAATTTCAGAGAGGAGAACAGAATTTCATCTGCCAAAAGCTGGGACATGAACAACAGAAGTGGAGGCAGCAATTCAAAATTACTCCATTTTCACCTGGACCACAGGGAAAAATCAAACTCACACAAACAAAGTGCAATATCAGCTGAAGGACAGGATCAGAACCTGGACTTTTTATACTGTAGAGAAGTTCATTTTGCTTAGTCTGTAAATCAAAAATAGCCTGGTGCTATAAGCACCTTGTAAGAGAAAGCTTAATAAAGATACATAAATAATTAAATGCCGACACAGGAATTTCTAAACTAAGAAAAGAGAAAAAGGATCTTTGTTTTCTGCTGCAAAAATGCATAAAGGACAGGATTTCCAGGAGGAATAAAGCTGACTATTATAAATTAAGGATAATAGTGTAAAATACAATGACATATTTGTCAGCCTTAGCTCTTTAGCTCCAAGAACTGAAATAAAATTGAAGTGGAGGGAAAAAAAAGGTTTTCCGGACTTCTTTCTTCCTTCCTTGTTCCAAAACCATTTGAAATTGAGTTCTGTGGTTGGTCTGCGGGGAGGATGCCTGGAAATCTGGAAAGCAGAGAACAGAGGCAGGCAGGGAGACAGGCCCAGCCTGGAGCCCCTATAAACTGCAGCTTAAGCTCAGCTTTCCTCTTGCTTTGCCTCCTTCAACCCTCTCATCTTTTGCCTTTCCTTCATTCCAAGACAGCCCTGCCTGTTCTCTGACCTCTCCACATATTGCAGCGACACTCTTTTGTCCCATCAATATTTTATCTGCTCACAATGGGAGCAGCTCATTGTAAATATTTGTAAAATTAATTTACCCTCAGTCTTTCAGTACCTGTGTGTCACCTCTTGTCTCCCTTCATGGGCAGACATTGCTAGAGACTGTTATTATAATATTCTATTCTATTTTTATAGGGGTCACAGCTCCAAGCCTGATTCAAGGAGTGTTTGGACAATGCCCTCAGACACAGGGTGGGATTTTTGGGGTGCCTGAACTTGCTGATTCTGATGGGTCCCTTCCAACCCAGGATATTCTACAATTCTATATTTTATATAGAACTAAAAACCACATAAATTACTTCTACGTACTTGTGGACTTGTATATTACAATTAACTAATTACTGTCAGTGATGATAACACTGCTGCCATTATCTGTTCTGTAGTTAATTGGTTTAATGTTATGAATATTTTGTGCTCATCCCTAAAAACTTCCATGCAGTTGGCTCTTCTTTCAGTGAAGAAGCCAGTGCAGGTTCTGGATGTATTTGTATGTATTTTAAGAACTTTTCCCCAAAACATTTTGGATCACACACATTTTAATCTGGAATAACCTGCTAGCAGTAGTTTAGCTGTTTCCCAGTATGGCCTTATTATTCTGTCTAACACTTGCATCAGGTGGCAAATCACCTGACATGAAGTTGTCCACTCAAGAGCAAAGTGGATTATTTTTAACTTCACACCATCCTTCAATCTATCCAGGAGGATCCCCAAAGTCCAAAAATCTTCCTGTCCCTCCCAAAAAATGAGAGTAGTAAAGGACAGGGAGATAATGCTGTAACAACTGTTCTGCTGATGCTAGAGCTGTATTGATAGAGTTATTTTTACTATTTCAGTTTTCAAGCAGTGATGTGAAAGGCCTCCGAGCAGAGAGCCACTCCTACCTGTTGCACAATGGTTGTTAGTTCCAGGCACAGTTGAACAATGTTGTTTTTCAGCAGTGAATATTCTGTCACGCTGACAAACGGAGACCTGGGGCAGGGCAAGGACAGGTTTGTGCAGAATTAGGGACCACAATTTGCACAACAGGCAGATATATCTAATACAGGGGTGAGTCCCACAGCACAGAAATGCCAAATCACTTCAATCTCCAGCAGCAAGTTGCACAACTTTTGTAATATACACCTTTGAAACAAAAATAATTCAGGCAAGATGCAAACTGGATTTTGGCCAGAACATCAGAAGTTCTCACTCTTATGGAGATTAGAAATAAGAGCTTTCAGATAACCATAAGCAGCCCAGATTTTCTTTGTACTGCTTATTAAAAAAATGGCATTTCTGGTATGACATCACTCCTCAGCAGCAATCAGCACCTTAATTCAGAGAGCCCAGTGATGCTCACTTACTCACAGCTTCCTGCACACTCAGATTCTCTTCAGGCTTTCCAAATTCTGGCTGAATCTGACCCAGTTTGAAGCTATAAGGGCTGACAAGGTCATCGCCTGAGAGAATATGACTGCTGGCATTAGGTTAGGAAGATGTCACCAGGATTATACAAATCCTGTAAAGGAGGGTGATTCACTCCCACTGTGATTTCTAAGGTGCCGTTTAAATGTTCCAGAGCATTCCCGTTCCAAATAAAGCTATTCACTGCTAGAACCACAAAGAAAAGTCAATGTTTGTTTTTTCCAAACAAGAAAAATTCTGGTTTGTGTCTTGGTTTCTGTCTTGTCACAGTCACAGAGATACTTTTAATGAAATTCTCAGTTGATAAATGTAAAACACCAACACTGGTTCTTGAGCATTAACCATCACGCCTGCACCTAACACATCCAATCTACTCCTGATAAATAAGAACATTTAATTTTCAGATTAAGCAGGTACTATAATTTATTTTGAACATTCTTAATTCAATTGCTCAACTCCAGCTTTTCTGTGTCATTTTGATGGCTGACAGCTCAAACTCCACAAGCTTTCCTTACTTGCCCTTCATTCTAAAGTTTCCGATATTACCAGTTGTGGCAGTGAGAATAGCACAGAAATATTAATTTCACACAAAAATCCAAATGAAAGAATCTCAAAAGGTATCTAAAAGAAATTTTAACACTCTCCTGACAGAGAAAGCTACTAAATTTTGATTCCAATATTTCACAAAATTCTAAAAATTTAGAGCTGTAATTCTAGACCTGCCATTTTAATTTTATAATAAGAGTCTAAGAGGCAAAGAAAGAGCAAACACAAAACTCCCCAAAGAATTATTCTCATGCATAAGGGACTGAGGAACAGTTAATTACCTGTCCAGCCAGGCGAGTAAGTTCTTGGCAGCACCAATCAGGTCAACTACAGAGGTAAGGAAATCATTTGGCAGCCGTCTGGAGGCCCTGCCATCGTAGTGGCCGCTCCTCCTCCTACCCGTGATGAAGTTCTGGAGGTTTTTGGCTGAGGCATTCAGCTTGTGAGACAGAGTCCTCAGGTTTTCAGTCTCCAAACCGTAATTCTGGGGCAAAGAAGAAGATGGACAGAGTGTGAGGTCAGCTGCATGAACCAAACTATGAGGAGAAACATCCTGGAGGGAGGGTGTTTCTCCCCAACATCCTCCTTGGCTGGGAGGGTGGCTGTGGGTACCTGGGTTGAAATTAAACAGGAATATTTGGGCTGGGACACACAGATCTCCAAAACCAATCTTTACAACATTAACACCACCCAGTCGGGGTGTGTGGTCAGCTGCATGAACCAAACTGTGAGGAGAAACATGCCTTGGCTGAGAGGATGGCTGTGGATACCGGGGTTAAGATTAAGCAGGAATGTTTGGGTTGGGACACACAGATCTCCAAAAAGCAACAATATTAAATCTTTTATATGTTTAATCTAACCATCTTTACAACACTAACGACATCCAGCCAGGACACAGCCTCTGCTGCCAGCAGCACTCACAGTCCAACACAACTGGGTCAGCCATGTCTGCGAGATATCCAGATAACAAGCACAAGGTAGTTCAAATCCATTAAGTAATTCAAATTCACACAGAAAGTCTCAAACACACTGAATTGAACCCAGATTTTTTGCAGCCCCCACAGGATGTAGAACATGAAAGAATTTAATCAACATTTAAACAAAATCAGCTCTCAGAGCCTGAATTGATTGCCCACTGTTAATTTATGCTTATATTAGAGGATGATCATGAATATCACACATTAATATTTTTGCCTAAACTTCTCCCTCAAAGCAGAGAATAAAGAATTGAAAAGAATACCCTTCTTGACATATGCCAACATGGATATTTGTACTAAAAATAATAATTTTCAACTGCAGAAAAGAGAAATAGGCTGACCAATAAGAAGATTATAAACTGGGGTTGTACAGAAAGCAAACAAAGCACAAACAAGCACTTGGTGAAGTGTCTGGATGTCTGACAGCTGGCACTGGGGACAGTGCCTTCCCTGCCAGCCATTCTCCCTGTCAAAGTTCACTCTGAGAAATGATTCAAGGCTTTGCCTCCAGCTTGGAGGGAAATCTAGGAGAAATGAAACACTTTGCTACCTTAGCTGACTGCAGAGAATTAGATTGAAATACCAGGGAGAGAATTAATTTCATTGTTAGGCTGTATCACAGCTAAAACTCCGTGGTAAGGGCCAGATCATCCAGTTCAAGACTAAATTGCTACAGATGAGAAAAAACTCTCTTCAACTTTTTTTTTTTTTTCCAAGAGCAAACAGTATAACCAAGGAAAATAATTCTCCTTCGGAAAAAGTTTAGAGAGCAAGCTGTATGTGACAGCAGTGTGTCATCTGTTTAATATCACATCTCATTACAGCACTGAGGGAATTCCCTCCCCTGCCCTATTTTCCTCTTGACTTGCACTCATGCCAGGCTGATGACTAAGTGGATGCACTGGGATGCTTTTCCAGCTCCCAACCAGCTGGGCAGGGCCTGGCTTCCCCCAGAACAGGTTTCATTCTGCACACTCAGCAAGGATGATGAACTGGATCCTCCTGGTTATTTATTCCTGTGGAAACAAGCAGGAAAAAAACTCTCCCAATAATTTGTTATTGCATAAAGCTCTGGAAACCTGTCACTTTGCTTTTAAGAGGAGTTAAGCAGCAAAGGACACATTTTGATCACTGAATCTATAAATACCAGAGGGTATTTTAGATCCCAGCAAGTGTAATCAGCCAGAGAGATCTTCTGCAAAACCAAGAGAACTGAGCAGGAAATGTGTGAGGAAATCCACCTCACAAAAAACAAGTGCATTGCTTTATCTTGGAGTTTATTGCTTACATGCCAATGACAGCTTCAATTAGTGTCAATATAAAATTTAAAATACAGCAAACACAGATAAAATATATCCATAAAGACAATCAGAAGATGAAAGGAAATTTTTCAGCACAGCAGAATTGCTGATGCAAGTTAGTGGTTACCTGAGACTGAGTGGGGCACAATAAAGGGGAAAAGATAAAATTATTATGACAGTGACAGTAAATCAATGCTTTTGTAGACGACAGAGACATTGGGTTGTTCTAGATTTAAGCGTGTCTAAATCCAAAATTTTAATTTTTAAATCCAACAACTCTAATCAACCATCAGATAAGAGAATGGGCTTGCAAATAAACCCTGAAAGCTATTAAAGTTATCCCCACATCCTGATGCTCTGCTGCCACCAAAGCCCACTGTGGCAGGATTTGTGGAGAGGACTGAAGAAAACTGCCAAAGGGATGGGGAAGGGAGGAGATTGCTCCAGAGGGGAAAAGAGCCAGGAAATGGGTGTCCCCCAAATTTAAACTGCAACAATTCTAATTCAGTGGCCATGCTTGAAAACAAAGAATTGTAGTTTGTGGGAATCAAAAAACCAGAAAAATTTAATCTGCAACCTAAAAAGAAAATAAGATTAATGTAAAAATACAATACACAGATATTAAACAAAAAAAATCATAAACTTATGTTTCTAACATATATATTTCTAACTTATAAGAATATACCTTAAGTGAAAAACTGTACCAATGAGATATAGAGTTTATAATGTAAGAGTGTAGGTGTATAGAATAAACTAAAAGTTTAAAAGTTATAAGAGAAAGAAGTATATATGTAAAACAAAGCCTATTAGACAAAAGTATCCACAATACAACAAAAATAAGTAAAAGCAATAAGTTTAAAAAAACAAAATAAACCTTTATAACAACTATATATTAAGTTTAAAAAATTTCTATTTCCTTATAACAAAAAAACCTTGTAACTTCTCAAACTTTAACCAATTACTTACTCCTCTAAAACTTCACAACCTTTAAAACTAATATTTATCTTAACAGTTGAATTAGTCCCATCCCTTCATTTTTCACAACCACAGTGGTTTATGGCAATGATGAAGCAGGTGAGGAGCCTCGTGGATCCTGCCAAAATCCAGATCGCTCTAATTCCTGCAGGCTCCTCATCCCCGTGGTGTCACTGAGGGAGCCCCAGAGCTGCCAGACTGAATCATGATCGCAGCTGCCAGGCCAGACCTCACACACTCTGCTCCCCTGAGTTAAATATTTGCTGCCCCTGTGAGCCACACCATGGAAATGATGCTCCTGAGCCTGGAGAATTCTGTCTCCTGGCAGGAGATTCAGGTGATTCCTTTCTGGCATTCTAAATCCCAGAGGTAATTTCTGGTTTTAAAAGTAAGACAGAAAAATAAAAGGGAAAACCTCTAAAGGAGGCAAGAGGGTGTCATTAGCATAGGCAGGATTATTTTTCATCCCAAGATCAGGGAAAAATAAACAAAAAAGGGTTGTTCCATTCCCTGGTTTTGTTTCATGATGTTTCAGGTTGTTCCATCATCAATGAGTCAATCAGTGGAAATGGATGTACAAGTTTAGGGAATGAATCCTGACTGCCAAAACGACCCCAGATGTTGCCTGTCTAGAACCACACAGCCACACCATTTGTCAAATTATCCTGAAATCTGGATCAGGAAACTGCTTAATGAGAAGAGAAAGCTCCCTAAATCCACCAACACTCCATTTCAGAAAGAGGGATGTGGACAGGAACACTGCAGAAAGTGCCAAACTAACAGCACACATTGAACACAGAAAGAGATAACTGGAAAATCTGTTAAATATTTATGTTATATCATACAAAAGCACAGCTCAAGCAGTAAGAACTTCTGTATCTGCACTGACAGCATCATTACCTGCACAGCCTCACAAGAGCTGCACAGATTATCTGGTTTGTTCAGAGACTGATCCCTGGTCCCAGGCTGGAGCTCACAGCTCCTGGTGCCCCGTTCCATGGCAGGAGCTGCATGGGAGGATTGCAGGAGGCACAGAGGAACCACGGGGCTGAGATCAGGGCCAGACAAGCTCATTGGGGAGGAACATCAGCAGCACAGCTCAGGCTGGAGCTGTGCTTGCAGTGCCACTCCTCACTGAGGGGTGCAGCTGCTTTGGGGGGGATAACTCTGCCGGCAGCCTGCAGAGCACAGCTCTGAAATTCAGCTGTTTCCCCTGGAATTCTCCATTCCCAGCCTCTCTGTCCTGCTTCCCCTCTCCTGCTGGGCTGGTGGCTGGGGTTATTGCAGGTGCTGAGGGAGCAGATCCCCACAGGGCTTTCACACCTGCTGGGGTTTTCTGAAGAGCAGGAAACAGGTGGCTGTTGTCAGAAACTGTACAATTCAGGTGACAGGAGAAAATGCAATTTTTTTTCTGAGCAACCTGAAGCAGACTCTTTTTTTTTTTCTAGCACAAAGAGACAATGTAAGAGAGAAGTTGTTGAATGTTCCCTACAGTCAAAATGGGAATTTTGAAAACTGAAATCTGCCTCCAAAAAGATAACCTTAAAAAAAGAATCTTACAACTGAAATCTGCCTCCTCTTCTTTTTAATGTCATAAATCCAATTTGCAGAAATAGCCAAACACACGTTCACCAATGAACCTTCCTGCCCTGTGCCACAATTCCAGCTAAAAGCTCTGCCTGTTTTGTACATTCTGGTTTGAAGTTCCATTTTTAAGTAATTGAGCAAATTCTGTATCCATCTGACAATATAAGATATGAGCTTTTAACATATCCAAAGAATTGGAATGAAAAAAATCTTCAGCTGTGGCTTCAGGTGTTCTCATACCTTACTGCAGGTAAGCAATAACATAAAAAGGAGGATTTTATGCTAATGAAGCAATCTGGGAGAATTTTAGCTACTAAGATAAAATAGATCAAATTATTGTAGCCAACATCAATATAAAAAATAATGAATATAACAGGGAAAAAATATCTGAGTGCTAATGAGTTTTTTATAAACACCAGCCCCTGAAGAGCAAAAGCCAAGCACAAAACACCTACAGCATATGAAGAGTTTATTTCTTCTGTGGAAACCATCCTCCAGCATCTTTTCTTACAGGTAGAGCTATAATGAAATTGTTTTACTGTAATGTGACAAACAGAGATAGAAATAATGTATGCACATTGAAATTTAATAGGCACAAGATGTAATTTTAACTAAACAGTTTATATTGCATAAGTAATGACTTT